AACGGGCCTCAGGTGTCTGTGCATGAAAACCAGTAGTCGGCCTCTTTTTCCTGGAGGGATCAGTGAATGGACTCAACAATGTTTTCGCGGGCCGCTTCAGTCTGCATCCTTTGCCTTCCGCATCTGGTTTCTGAACCGTGGCATTAGCCTCCTTGTCCCCTTCATCACCAACCAGATTTATACTAGTTTCCATGGGAGGCCTCGCCTTCCGTCCCACCCCCTGAATTTCTTTCTTATTCCAATCCTCTAACAAATTTAACATTGTTTTACAAATAACTCTGTACCCTTCCCTATCTTCCGGACTAGGAATGAGGGGATCTTCAAGACTAGGAACCTTCACATCTTCCGAAGTAGGAACCTTGTGAGGTTGTTGGTGCACTTGTTTGTTACAAACTGAAGTGTCAATTTCAGCGGCTTCGACTTCCATGGCTGGGAAGCCTTCCACAATATCAGCAGGGACTTCGGCTTCCCTTTTAGCCCCTTGTATATGCATGGCTAGAAAAGCTTCCACTCCATCAGCAGGGACTTCCGCTTCCCTTTCAGCCCCTTCCACTCCACCATAGACTGTTGCTTCCATTTCAGCCCGTTCTGTATGCATGCCTGGGAAGGCTTCCACTCCATCACCTGCAACTTGTGCGTCCATTTTAGGCCCTGCTGTAGTCGGAGTAGTAAGTTCATTCAAGGGTGACATTTCATTCTGCCCTCCTTCATTCATCTGAGCAGTCCACACTTCCTCATGCCCTTGTCCACCATATAATTTTTTTAACTCCTCCATCTCCAATTTAAAATAATGTTCCACTGAAGCAATTGTTAGGGTCAAATCCCCAATAGCCTTTTTATTTCTGTCACACTCCTTCTCATGCTTCAAACAGTTCTTGTCTACAATAGCTTCCAAGTCACGAACTCTGTTCCTAAGGCCCCGATTTGAACTACGTAGCTTTGCTAACTCATCCTTAGTGCTTTCTAATTGATGCTTCAACCTGCCAAAGTCATTAAAAGACCCTTTGCCCTGCATAAAGTTATAATGCAACAGTTAGAAATCTTACAAAAGCTAAGAAAACTATTTCCACTTCTTTCGTATCGTATTCTCTACATGTTCACAACATTGGAAAAAGGTCATGCTCACCTTAGAAGAGGAGGGAAGGGTAGTTGTTTCCTCAACATCCGCCTCTTTTTCTTCACTAGAAGTGCTGGTTTTGTCTTCGCCCTCATCCCCAAACAATTGAACAATTTCTTCATTGTTCTCATCATCACCCCAACTCCAGTAAGGTTGTTGCTTCTCAATATCAGTCGGCCGGAGAAGTTGCACATCAACCTCCATTTGAAACACATCTAATAAATCAGTGAACTTTTACTTGTTCCTAATCATAACCTGAGTAATACAAACTGAACTAACCTCAAAGTTTTCATAAACCTGACTCATAACCTCCCGAAAACGGGCCACCGTGTTGCTCCTCCAATGTAATATTCGAGGGATGTGCCTATTGTCTTCATGGACCGTGAAATGCAATGCTTCCAATGCTGGGAAGACTTCAAAAGCCCAAATCTGTTGACAACAATCAAACATCAAAATCTGTACATGTATTTAAATGAACTAAAACATTGTTGGATATGTGTTCACCTGAAGAGCGAAGCCAAACCCCCTTATGATGTACTCTCTGGCTCTACTGCATTCCATTCTTGTCTGCGCTCTCTTCTTCCCACGTTTGTTGGGCTTTTTTCTGTTTTGGGGCACCTTCACTCGTTGGTAATCAGGAGAAACTGCCCTCAAAAGTGAAGCATTTGTCATCGCATATGACACGGCACCCCATGGATACTTGTCCAACTCTTCTAAGTCTTCGGCCAACTTCAAATAGCGCATGTCAAAAAGCACATGCTTTTCAGTACCCAATAGCACAAAAATGGCAAAATAGACCATTCCAAGCTTTAACGCATCGTCATCATCTGTGCACTCGATGAAGGCAGTGTGTAGGTCCAAAAGGGTGGGAGGTTTATTGCTACTGAAGTATTTTCGCTTCAAGGAGCAGTTTTCATTTGTCGCCTTCGGAATGAAAGGGAGCTTTCCGAACCTTAGGCCCGTGATGAGGCAAAAGTGTTGGGCTGTGAATTGTATCAACTTGTTACCCACAATGAATTTTATCCCGTTCACCTGTGTAACTGTCTTAGGATCAGCCTTCCTCATCAACAGCCCGTGGACAACTTGTGAATTCCACTTCAGGTCCTCTATCAGTAATAGATGACCAAAACAACTCCCCTCGAACCTCTGTAACTGCTGCGTATTGAACTTCGCCTTTATTGTTGTAATGGCGGTCCTTGCGTGTGAAAGGGCAAATGGCTTTCCTTCGTACTTCTCATCCTCAGGAATCATAAGCTTTGCTTTACAAGCCATTCTAGAGTTCCCTGCACAACAACATCATACATATGGATCATTGGTTACCCATATTTCATACGTACATTACTCAAACTAATACTTTCAAGTCATTTAATATATGTATATACATATGACAAAACCAGAATTGTTTTGAAGCCCTCTTTTCTACTCTCCAACTCTCTCCACACTCTGCTGTTATCTACATTCCCTTCTACAAAATCTATATTCGATTCCATCCAAAAACCAAATACCACCCAAGTGTGAAAACAAGTTCATGAACCACGGATCCACTTCATACAGGGTTTTGGCGAAATGGCTACAACAATTACTCCAAATGCATCAATGCGTACTAAAATCTACTCATTACCATAGTCATATACATGTCTACTCATGGAACATCAGTATTGGCAGTTATGGACTCTGTGTACAAACTAGACACGTCAAAATGTTACTGCAGCTGCAACTGCTAAACATAGCTGGATGAACATGAAATTTCTAAACAGATACTAAAGCCCAAGAAAATACCATTTTCAGACATATATGACAAGCTGCAAGCAAGGACTAACAACAACATTTAGCAGGTTTTATAGCACAGGGAAAAGAAACATCCCACGCCAACTTACATTAGTATTTCAAATTCACATAATTAACCATTGAGACTGGAAGGGTGCAAAACTATGCTACTAGGTGCTGAAACAGCAATGATACCAACAAATTTACTTATGCATTATTACTCAACAGCTAATTTAGGGCCTAGTGAGGTAAACCTGTGTTATAATGGAATAGCCATTGCCACCAGAATAAATTCCCACACTAATTATGCATCATCAAATGGAAGTGAAAACACGCATCACAAACGAACCAATCCCAGATGACAAATACCAACTTAAGGCACTTCATCGTCCACAGAGCAAAATCAATACACCAATACAAGTTTCATCCAAGCATGAAATAATTCACAGTTAAAATACATTATTATTGCAATCTCTGTAATTACTAAACTTCACAACATCAGTCACAGGTTACTGAAATTATCCTTCTCAAATGAAAACCATACAAATGCACAAACTAGTCAATAACAAATACATAACCAACCTTAGAATCACTCGTTTTGTGCACAGAACCGAATTGGAAATCCGAGCAACACCTACAGAAAATCGCGATTTTTGTCCCTCACAGGATTGAGCAAGAGGAGGAAGTAAGTGAACTAAGTCTGAACCGAAACCAGGTTTTAGGGTTTTTTGAGGCCCTCAAGGAGCAGAGGAGAAGAGAAAGACTTCGATTCAAGACATGAAAAGAGAGGGAACTGAGAAATCGTTTAAGGGAGATACCATTTATTCGTGAAACCCTAAACGTCAATAACCGCCTCCCCAAACCCTAACATTGACGGCAGAGAGAGAACGAGAGAGTGCTGCTTAGGTTTGGGGACAAAGGGAGACAGAGAGTGGTGGTGGCCGCTGGAGAGAGAAAGCGCCGCCAGAGAGGAAGAGACGAGCTGAGAAGACGAAGTGTTAGGTCGCCAATCCATGCCCAATAACTCCCCAATAGATATGTTTTTATATGGAGGGCACTTCGGTCATTTCACGTCCCCAAGTGATTATATTAGAATACAATTTGTACCCTGATTATTTCAGCACACTGTTTCTGAGTTGTGATTATACCAGCATATTTCCCAAAAAACTATCAATCGCACACAAATAAAAAAAAACCCCAGAAAACGCAAATCTGCTCTGCATCTTACTTGTTTTGGTTTTAAATCTCTTCGTTCTTATATCGCAGGGCCTGAGTTTTGCCAAGCGGAGAAGATGCAGGGGGTGAAGATGAAGAGGCGTGCAAACGTGTTTGTCAAACATGTATTTTAATGTGTTTTAATTGAAAAAAGCACTGAAGAGAGTTAACAGAGTTAAAACTAGTGCTAAGTTGTTTGCCACATGTCATAAAATTAAGGAGGAAACAAGGGGCACAGACCAAAGATGATAATTTCCTAAATCTCAGAGACCATTTGTGATTAAAAAAATACCCTTACCTAAAAACACCCAAAAAATTAAAGACTAGAAATGTCGAAAACCTTGCATATGACGGAGTTTCAATTCGTCAATCTACTGATTTAACTTTACCGATATATGATGGAACGCAAGCAAACATTAATTGTGCGTAGAGTTTTCAGCGAGGAAATGAGCAATGAGTGTTGATTTTGTAGGTACATGAGTGTGAGGAAGAGAATACACCGTATTTCTCAAAGTGAGTTCCTTTTTCTTAATATGATGTACCATTTGACACTAGGGTAATGTTGTCCTTTAAAAATCGGGAAAATTTTGAAATCCAAAAATCGTTAAAAGGTTAGGTGTATACCTAGGAAAGGAAAATAGTTGCGTTTAAATGGAGGCAGGCTTACCAAAATGATTGACATCCATTAAATGCGACTATTCTCCAGGACGGGCATTATAATATGGAAAAACTTGTTCAGGGTTCGAGTTACTAATTGGTCACCATTCTCACTGGGAATGGTCACCAAATTTGTGGCCTAATTTACCTTTACATATTAGCACCAATGCACCGGCCAAGACAAAATATTAGCTCTACTAATTGATCCTATTGCCGAGAGCTATTCACTTCTTTTGATGAGCGGTTAGCCGAGTGCGGCAGCTTCAACTTCTACCTCCGGATCCTCATCTGTTGCTGAGATTAATGAAGCAGATTGAATCTTTCCAGCATGATCCAGCCGCATCAAAATGACTCCCCTGAAAAAAAATGTATGGTGAGTAAAATATATGATCACGACATCTGCCAACCACAATAAGAGATGAAAAGGATTTGTCTATAATACATGCAAATCATATCGTTCCATCATAGTGGGTAGTTGAAGCATATTATGCCAATATATTTCAGAATAGAAGGAAAGGAAATACCAAAGTTGAAGTTTACCTTGCATAGCGAGACTGTATAGAAATATCCCGCACCTTAATTCTATTGACTGTACCACTTTGGCTTACAAGAACCACTTGTTCATCACTTTCTCCATCTTCTGTTAAGTAACATTAAGTTGAACAAAATTCATGAGAACGCTCATAGATATCGGAAAAAAGCCTCAAATATAGTTTCCGAACATCACCTGCCAAAGAGAAGCCCACTACAAAAACTGCTGCCAAGCGATCCTCCAAGGCAAACTGAAAAAGAGCAGTGAAAAATAGGTTTATTTCTTATTCAGTCTTGAATAAGTAACTTCATAAGGCTTTGAACAAGGAACTTCATAAGCATACCTTATATCCTATCAGGCCAACCCTATTCAATTTGGAGGAGTGAAATCTGCTCAAGGGAACACGCTTTCCATATCCGCTCTCAGACACAAATAACAACCATGGCCCCTTCACACTTCTAGCGCTGTGGAAAAATCAACACAAAATATTAGATTAGCATATCCGGTTATTCGGGTTACATTGCATCTGGAAAATAAATTCAGCTTTAAACCATCTTAATCCCAAGCAACTAGGTTCAACTATGTAAGGCCAATTTTCTTTAGGTCGTTGCAACATTAACCCCTTCCATTTTCAACCTCCCTTTAGCTCTTTGTGTTAGCTGTAACTAGTTAACTAGTAGGTCAACTAGTAGTGACTATCCCTCAGGTTTTCTGCCATCCAACCCCTACCATAAATTAGGTTTATCTCTTTTTCAGTCTAGCCTCCATTTCCACTCGTCCAGCACATCCACTTTCTAGCTACAGATTGCCAACATTCTATCAACATTATTACTCTTGTATTAATAAATGAGATGCCATTCAGATTGGCCAAATAACCAAACATCCAACCAAAAGCACTTATATTAATAGGTTTTGGTAATTCATGCTTATATAGCAGCAAACCTGAAGTCCAGTATGGTGGTAACCAATGATTAGGTAATAATAACAAGCTAGGAAAGAAAAATAAATAAATAAATAAAACAATATGTTAAAGAAATTACGCAATATGGGGAGCTTCCAACACCCTCTCCAAGTCTTTTCTCATAGCTGCTGGTATAATGTCCACACTTGCCATCTTATCCCCTTCTTTAAGTCTCATGGCCACTGCCCCCCTAGTGTTTCTCCCTAGTGCACGAATCTGGTACATAACAGAGATGAACGTGATAAGATGCAAATTAGTAAGTACAAAAATCCTTCACGAAATGTAACCGTTAGATGGTAATATAGCGCCAAGAATTTCTAAAACTTTTTTTCTTTTTATTATTATTATTATTTTGTAAAATGACCAAGGATATAGGACCACAGGTAGTACTAGTTCTCTACAATAATGAGATTTCTACATGAACATAGTGAAACAACTACAGAAACTCAATTCCAGAGATTTAGGACTTGCAAGTTTTAGACACTTGCACATAAACGGGTGCCAAAGTGCACGGGAGATACAAGATGATCCCAGCAAAGAGAGAAATAAAGAGATAAACAAATAAATAAAATGGGAGAACATGGGTAGCCCACAAGAATAGCAATCTCAAAACACAAGAACTTGAATTATAAAATTATTATTGTTCTTCATTTCAAGAGGCTCTACATCAGGAACATGGGGACACCTGAAGTCCAGAGGTTAACAAACTTCTTGAGGATGAAAAAATTGTGCTTAGTAGGTAGGAAAAAATGATATACAAAACATTGTGCCTTGCAATTGCCCTAACACCGCAGTTTAATGATATACAAAATCCAAATAATAGCAAAATATTCAAACGAGGTGGTGAGCTACGAGCCTATGAAACAGTAATAATACTAGTAAAAATAACAGTAGTAGTAATGACAATAACAATACTAGTAATAACAACAACAATAGCAATAACAATAACAAATAATAGGTAGTACTAACAATAAGAATAAGAATAACAATGATGATAATAATAATAATGGGGTTGGTGAAGGGAGGGCCCCAATTGGTTTTAAAAAATAAATAAATAACCCGCCCCTTGGGGTTATCCTCTACTTGGAAGTAGAAAAAGGAATAAATATAGTGATAATTTGACTCTTCGTCACCGTAGTAAATAGGCAAGAAAATAGAATTTGTTATTCGTCTTTACAAAAATAAAAAATAGTAGTAATTAATTGTGATGCGTTCACTAAAAAAAAATCCTTTTGTAGCGAATCATTTAGTAAGAAGAAAAAAACAAATACACTTAACACAAAAGCAGAAAAACAAATAATAGTAACCTGGTCCCGTTTTAGTATTTATATTTAAATTTGTTTATTTAAATAAAATATTTTATTAAATGTAAACAGGTTTTAACTGCATACCAATGTGTATATCAATGAGAAGGAAAATGATGTATACTTACAATATCAGAGGAACTTAAGATGACCATTCCATTCTGTGATGCCATTGCTACAAGGTCGTCATTTGTGCAACAACGGACCCATTTTAGCTCATCACCAGGAACCTATCACATGAATGATGATTTGTGAACCAAAAGAAAATTTATGCACGGCAGGAAAGACAAGACTTGCACAGAAGGAGAACGAACCAGTTGAATTGCTATGATTCCTGTTGACCTGATTGACGAAAAATAACTCAAGGAGACCTTCTTAATGTAGCCATTGACAGTAAGCATAAGCAAAAACTGATCCGCAGCAAACTCACTCACAGGAATAACAGATGTAATTCTCTCTCCATCTGACAACGATAAGATCTTGCTCCAGTGTAAAAACAATTATTAACCTTCAGCAATTTAAAAAAGAATGTCTGAAAAAGAGAGACTGATTAGTAAATAAATTACCTGAACCAGTGGTGTACCAGCAGCTGTCCGAGTGCATTCAGGAATTTTATATGCACGAGCAGAGTACACTGTTCCTTTATCACTGCAAACATAACTTTTGTAAGTCATCCATCGACAAACATCAAACAAATAAATTTGGAAAAATTGACAATCTTAAGACGGACACCAGATGCAAAAGTCCTTTCATCACAAAAGTACAAAAGCAAGCTCCTCCTTAACATTCAAGTCATAGGCAAGCCATATGGTAGGACTCTAGGAACTAGGTTTGCACCATCGTTTAGGAAACCCGGAATCAAATGAAACTATCTATCAAGACAAGATTTTAGCCTAGTAAAAGCAACATCTTGTGTGGGCTGTGAGTAATTAATATTTCATACCATAAATTGGTGAATCACCCATGGGACGAAAACAGTTTGTAATTTAAGTATGAGCGTAGAGAAGTGGTAATTTGATAAGGCAAGCCTTTTGTTTTCATTTTGCCAAAGTAGTAAAGAGGTACAATATATTACTGTGCATGATTCCTGAGTTCCTATATGGTGTTGGTGAAGAAAATTTCACTTGGCACAACAGGGACTATGGGGAGGATGAATCTTTGAACCATAACATTAATGTCTCAGTAAGTTGAATCTTGAAGTTTTAAAAGGCTAGGCGTACAACTGAGGCGTAAATTATTTCAATAAAATAATATAAAGGTAGTTAAAATATTAAAAATATGTGCTAAAATTTATTAAAAAGAAATCTTAGAAGATGAGTCATGAGAGGAGGGAGATAGCAGTTGACACAATTGGTGTGAGAATTAGAATAATATGATTTGAGAGCTTAGGTTTGCAATTTTGGGAGTTAGTTGAATTAGGGTTTACATGGTCTGATTTGGGATTGGATTGTATCAGTGGTAGGGGATGAAGAACCTGGTGGTGTTGTAAGGCTTAAACAAAAAGGATGTGTTCGCTTTTTAAACATCCTTCACAAACGATGATGTTTTGATATTAGCCTTCCATGAAACATGGAGTTTTATTAAAAGGAACCAGCCTACTTGACAAAACGGCTGCATTTCAATTTTAAAAATTCCAGAAAAGTTAGGCGCGCAGTGCAGGAGTCGTCTTCTTTGCAAGGTGCAGCTGCCATTGTTGCCACTTTTAGCTGCAGCGTGTATGCCTCCAACTGCCATGCACTGCCCCGCACCCAACGCGTACGCCCTTATGCAATATGCTAGCGATTGTACACCTGAGGCAGTTTGCCGACGCCTCTTCTCAACGCCCACCCGAGAAACGCTTTTTAAACCTTCATCTTGTTTATAATCTACTATGCCGCCACAATCCTTGTCTCATTGTCTTTTCAAGCTAACAATATTACATATAACCTTGGTAGTGATAAGGACAGAAGCATTGGATCTAGTTATACTTCGCCAAATCCCCATTTGGCACAGCCAAGCATAAACCTTTGCTGTCAACATGAAAAACACTAGACCACCAGATTATGAGCCCTCCAATACATACCGAGAGTTCCAAACGTTTTAATCCTTCTAATTACTAGATAAAAGAAACCCTCGCATAAGAAAGCCAAGAGATAATTACCTGAAGTACAGAACATGATCATGTGCGCGACAAACAATAAAGTCTGACATTGCATCATTTACCCTCAATTTCCCAACAGATTTGCCAATGGTTCCTCGATTTTGTAGATTGAAAGTGTTAGGTTTCATCCGCTTAACATACCCCTTTTCACTGAATGCCTGACAATTATATGCAAAGAAAACTTTAAGAAAAAAAAATGAAGTACTAATGGTTTCTTTTCTTTTAATTTTCCTTCTTCGGAAATAAAGGAGTAAAATATAATTTCATGATAAAGAAGGTTGATTAGCATATACCAAAAGCATTTCTTCATTTGGAATAACATCTATGTCATCAAGGTGGCCACTATCACTGTCCTCCAGCATTGAACGCCTTGGACTGGAAAACTTGCTTTTTAACTCATTTGCTTCTTGTTCAATCAACTGATTGAAATAAAATAAAAATGAAAACAGAATTGTAATTCAATTTGAACCAAATGGAGGCAATTAAAGTATCTTCTCTATAAACAGTATGATAGTCATCTTAAGAACATTTAACATCATTTCCAAAAAGGGTCAATGAAAATTGGAAGAAGTGAAAATGAAGATACAAAGACAGCCTATGCACCATTTTTTTTTCCATAACAGGTTAAATCAACATAATGATCAAGATCCCACTTCCAACCTAATTAAATGCATTCTACACTGCCTCAACAGGAGCATGGCGCAAGAGGTTCGACCTAATCAAATGTGCATTTTTTTAAATAATATAATACAAAGAAGCGCATTGAAAAAAACTATCTGAAGGATTACAAAACAGAGTCCTAAAACTATGTACAATAATCAGAAGAAATATATAATACAAAAGTGTATAACTCAGTAGGTTTATTTCAAAACATGGGGAAAATTTTCAGACAGATACATAGAAATATGAGAATCGATACATATGTTACTCTAAACATAATGTGTGACGAAAAATGCAAGTCTGAAAATATGTCCTAATCTTTAAAAAGAATTATAAATGACCTCTAAAGTGGCATGCATATACACCTTCACAATACATGCAACCAATTGGTATTAGAACTATACCTGTAATATGTATTTCTTGCTTGACAAGAGTTCTTCTAGTTTTGAAATTTGCTCTTTTAACGATTCACTTTCATTAATAAACTTTTTCCTCTGCACAATAAGGAGAAAAGGATACGAAGTTATTACCCAAGGTCTCTCATCAAGCAATCAGAAATTACATTTGAATGCACCTCAAGCATGGTAATTCTTCTCAGGCTAATGTCTAATATTGCTTCAGCTTGTTTCTCAGAAAGATTGAACTCTGCATAAAAGAATAAGAGATAATATCAGTGCCTTTAACCACGCCTACTGCTCAAAAACAGCCGCCACAATTAAGTAGAAAATATGAAAACAACCTGAAAATAATATTCACCATTGGGTATAAAGACACGAAACTGGCTAAGGTGTAAGCTGGGGAATGTCGCAACTAGAGTTATATATGGCTTCACAAGTTATTAAGTTTTCAAATTAGAGCATTCAACCCAAAATAAATTGGAAATAGGAGGCCCATATTTCATGGCTTCTGCTTGGGAAGCAGATCTTTGAACACAGTTGATTCACTAAGGAATACATTTAAGAAAAAGGAAATCAAAACACCAGGGTATGGATAGAATACAGATAAAAAAGTCTGCATTCCAGAGCTGATTTCAAAGAAAACCAAACCCTAGACATCAAGGAAATTTGAATAACAAAATTGCAAAACATGATTACATTCTGTTACTGAACTGGAACTCTCATCTACTCCCAAAAAAACCTAGCTAAGTCAGGCATTAAATAAACCCTACCCCTAAGAACCAAGTTCGAATAAAATAACAGATTATTGGAAAATTATAATTAGTAAAACCATAAGCGTCCTTAAACTTGTGTTGCACTAGACCCCAAGTTCCAAAAAAAAATCACACGTTTTAGGCAAGAAATTTCATTGATCAAAAGAGGCAAACACAAAGCACATGACAAAAAATCTACTGCACCAAAAAATGTTCCTCGCAGCAGAAGCTAGAAAGCAGAAAAACAGAAAAACTATACATGCAGAACAACAGAAGTTTAATGACAAAGCCAGAAAATCATGTCTCAGTGCTTTTGAACCACAACTTCTCCTTAAGTTGAAGAAAATGAAAAACTCAAAAACATAGGGGAGCTCACCGCTCCTTAGACCAGATGATGCAATTGCATTGCTAGAAGATTCTCTTAGTATACGAATTACTGCATCCAAATTATCCAGGCCCACAACAATGCCCTATTTCAACAAGAAAACACATAAGAACTATGAGTCTGTAGTATGGTGACATAAATATGAATCCAGTAATATAGTCACAATAACACAGCAGTACATAAAGACAAGCTAGAATAATGTGAAATGCAATGGGAAAAAGAATGAAATCTTCTCATGTTCACACCCGTGGTTTAGAGCACACATCCAAGGACATGTATGGATGTCCAAAAACATCAAAATAATCACGTTGAGACAACTTATGAATAAACTTATCTAGAATTAGAAGGAAAATAAAAATAATAAAAAAGGGTAACATACCGCAACAATATGTCTTCTTTCCTGTGCTTGTGAAAGTTTGAACTTGGCACGTCTCTCAATAACAGAGCATCTGAAGTCTAAGAATGCCTGTGAATATTCATTAGCAAAGGTAATATTTAGTACAGCCTCACCATTTGGTACATTGAGAACCTTGTACCAAAACAAGTACCAATATCTTAATGCAAGAATATCATAATCTCAATACAACAACGAATGAGTCTGTTTTCCTTTTGTTGCATGATTGAGGATAATTTCTCCTCTTGATTATCAATACAAAAGTACAACAATGAATGAGTTAAGCATCAATACTTAGGAGTGATGAACCAAATATTAACCGTTCACTGCATGCTTTAAAACCAAACGAGCAAAATTAAATAAAAAATCAGTAACCAGGTAGGTTGAGATAAGACAAACTATCCAAGATTTGAAGCCATTAAATGTCCCAACAGAGTAATACAAAAGCTGAGCAAAAACATTATCCATGAAATCAGAATCTAAATTTTCCAATAAATGTTTTGCTGAATAGACTTACTGATGTAGTACGGCCTGTAGGTATTAGATTAAGCACTTAAACAATACAACAGAGAAGAATATAAGAGATCAAGGAGAAGAAAATATAGATCGAAGAGACGAAAGAAAGGGCGGAAACAGTAGAACAAAGAAGAATATCAGAGATCGAGGAGAAGAAACTATAGATCAAAGGGGCGAAAGAAAGGGGCAGAAATCATAGAATTCTATAAAAGGTTTACTCAACATTCAGAACTACATGGGGGTATTTATAGCAAACTAAAACCTAGACATAATAGGATAAAAATCCCTTGCTTAAACAGAAATCCTAACCCAAATAAAATAGGAAACTTAAAACTAGAAACCTGGAAATCTGGAAAAGTAGAAATCCTACTAGAATTTGGAAAACTAGAGAATCTATGAAACTAACAAATACATTAGGAAACTAATAAATTTAGGTCCTACGTGTCCTGTATCACTTACATAGTTAATAGGAGCAGGGGAACTCAAAAGCCAATAAAATATAAGCCAGGGGGCTCAAGAATTTGAACCAACCAACCCATTGAAGTGAAATATTTTTGAATTACCAAAAAAGTTTGCCACACTAGAGCAACATATTTTCAAATGGCAATTTAATAAGGCATATATCTTCAGATGATGGCCTCTTGACAGTTTCTCTTTTTCTTTCGACATTGAGGTCTCTTGAAAGTTTGGACAATACCTTTCTGCTTTTAAGTTTTGAATGCGTTCGAAGAAATCAGAAGAATTTCACTATCCAAGAACTCTTTCCAAATTGTAGTTGATTTCAATGCATCAGCTCTTGTCAATTTTTTCAAAGACGACTACGATACTAGTCAAACTGTCAGTACCTAAAAGTGCTAGCAATGTTAAAATAATTCGTACTTGCACAAATCTAACTAGATATCAGAAACTAGAACACTATAATCCAACAAGATTTATTTGATTTTCCATATCAGTAGTTGACCTAATTATTATATGCTTATTGTATAAGTTTTCTACTTGCAGCTTCTACATGAACAGTACCCTAACATGTCCATGTACTGCAGCTATTTCCATAGTCATAAGTTAATTTTATTTATTTATTTATTATATATTTAGTTTAGTTAACTAGGAATCATACATTTCACAGAATACAATTCTCATGGGAGTGACAACAATGCTGGAAATTCCTTCAGATTGATGGCTAAGCATTCCTGAAAGACTTGGAAGTACAGAAGTACTGCCCCTTTCAAGACACTATCAACAGAAATATATGAACAGCTAAAACTGATCAACAATAAAAATTCCACCTTGCCACAAATCCCTGACAGTTCGACCATTTTTGCTGCATCGACATATAAGAAAATGTAGTGTTTCTATTGTTTTAATTCTATCTCTGAAATTTACTACTTCAGCAGAAAATGTAAATCCTAAGACTCCTAGGTCAGTTTGTTTTGACAGAAAATTATAACAATTACCTAGGTTGCAATTCCTTGATGTTTGTTTGAACCCAACAAAAAAAAAGGATTTCCCGTTTAGAGAACTTCTCTAAAGCACAAGCATTTCCTTTAATTCTTTTTCACTACTTTACTGACAAGATTTATTACAACTTTAGCTACCATAGTGCCTCACGTGTTTCCTCTACAAATAATACTTACATTAAAGGAGACAAAGCGGTGCAGTAAAAACGAAAACACATAAAAAACCATATAAAGTCAAGTACGAACTCATGAAAACAGCAGCCCAAGTAGCGTGAATTACAAAATGATCCTTAAGGGAAAACAAATTCCAGCAAGAAAAAACATTTTCTTGAAATAGCTTACCTACAATATACAAATATATTAAAACAGCATATATGCATGAGTGAGCAAGTGGGTCAGTGGGTGGGCATTTATACTGGAGAGATTAAACTTAGGTAGTCACCTGCAGCAACTCCTTTAGACCCATCTGCTTAGGTTGCCCATTATGAATACTGTGAATAGACAAAATACCAAATGAAAACCCAAGCATTGTGATGAATCATTTGAGCAAGAAAGTTCAATCAAGAAAATATATTGTACTTCTAGAACAATGAGCCATAATTTAGTAACACCAGAATCATTTTGAACGAAGAAATTCATCCAATCGGATCGTTAATTAATATCATGCGTGGCATTGCAATGAAGGCTACAATGTACACATGCTTCTTGGTTGCACCACTATGTGGATCATATCTAAACAAATTTCTAAGGCTACGTTCTAGTGATATTGACAATATTTCACTGACATTTCTGTTTTCTTCAATGAAAAAAAAGGCAGCTTCTGCCATGCAAGCATGGTGGACAAGTATTCCACACCTTCACAAAATTACCTTGTGTTTGTCCAATTGTATCTCCCAAAACCTACTCCAATCTCAAAAACAACAGCTTATAAAGTACTTCATACAAGCTGGAAACCAAACTCAGTGGCGTAGATTTATCCTTTCCCATTGAACCTTTTGCCTTCGCAATAAGGCATATGCATGTCTAATAGGTTATTGCATTTATCACCCATCCTTTTGGAACTTTTCAAAGGCTTTCATCAAATTTGCCTCCAAAATATCCCAATTCCCAACAATGTTGAAACAAATCAAATGAAAAACCAACAGGCCCGGAGCCTTCAAAATCACGACTTTGTGTTTAATTTTATCACACAATCCTGGTATTTGGGATATTTTTATTACAGCTCAGCTTTTGACTAAAATTATTTAATTCAACGACAATAGACTAATTTAATTTTCTTTATAAAATTAGTTTCCAAACCAAAATATTTTGGTTCCTTGAAGTTATAATATTCAATCAAAGTCATAACTTTCAAGGCCAAAATGCAAGTTTCAATTTTTAGCCCTAAAAATCAACTATAGAAGTATAGGGAGAGAAATTGCACACACCAGTGAAGAACCAAAATGATGATAAAGATATCACTCACCCAACCATGTTACAACTGAAGCTGCATTGAAGAGATGTGAGGCGATAAAGATTATTCAGAACAATTGATGGGTCAGATCCTCGCTTGAGCTGAAAAGAGGATGAAAATATATCATAATCCAATTGCAGAACCCGTTTTTTATTTGAGAAGAATAGCAAAACCATTTTACTAATTAAATCTCCCATAGTATTGTGAATTCTTCAGAATGTTAGTATTTAAAAGCTACAAAGTACTCATAGGAGAACAGAATTAAAAATAAATAAATAAATTGCATACCTCAATGACAACACGCATTCCAGAGCGATCACTTTCATCCCTAATATCGCTTATGCCTTCTAAACTCTGTATAAAAAAAGGAAAAAAGTATAAATAAATACTAAAACGAGAACATATTAGGTAACATATCTTCAATGAAAAAGCTGCATCCCTAATATAAGGTCAACATGATATCAACATCTAAGAATAAATACTAAAACGAGATAAGAATTAACAACAATGTATGACCTTATTACTTTAATAAATTTCATGTGAGTGATACAGCACATAACTTAGATGAATATATTGGTACTTATTGGATTTAATATAGTCACATATTAAATAAGAATTATAATACTAACATATGCATTTGGACTCAGATTAGAATCAAATAACATATATAAAAACCAATCACAAAACTACTTTTTTAATGAAAAATTACAATCCAGCAGTTTTTAAAGGATCATTTGCTAATTGCAAGAATGTCACCTTAGTTTCCACAAGTTCAGCTATCTTCTCCACGAGGGCTGATTTGTTGGTTTGGTAAGGGATCTGACTCATTCACAAAGTATAAAATCACTATAAAAAATAAACTCTTCATGAGAATCTAAGCCTACATGCATATTTAATGCAAACCAGACAAGAAGACCAAGGCAAACCTCCTTTATGATAATTGCACTTCTCTTTGTTCTAGAATCAAGCAATTCAACATCAGTTTTCCCTCTGACCACAATGCGTCCTTTCCCAGTTCGATATGCCTCCAAAATGCTTCACAAAATGAACATTTATCCAAACATTATGATTGCGCAAACATAAATGTCCATGAATGTTCTTACCCACATGCACAAGAACAAACACACATATATAAGGAAGATGCAGCCAGCATAAGCAAAGGGATAATTCTGCCACCATGGCAATCCTTTATTACTCTCAGCATTTGTATTATATTACATCTTCAATTACACTAGTATATACTATTTTAATCTATCTTCACCTTTAGCTCAAGTTTCTTATTCAGAAAAATGAAACAAAACTGTTTGTACGAACAGAGTAGTATACCCCATGAATTTAGCAGCAAGTATGCAACATAAGACATATCACCACTGCCCATCATCACATTCAATTTGAAAGCATCCCTTTAGTACAACCTATTCAAACGTTATACAAAAACTGGTAAAAACCAAGGAAATAACTACTACAAGGAGGAGGCAATCACTTTTTCGTCCAAGCTTACCAGAATGAACCATGCTTTACATAGCGAAGGAATGGTTCCAACTTACCCAAGGTTTCCCATAATCAGTCCTCCAGTTGGAAAATCAGGCCCTGGCATGTATTCCAGTAATTCTTGCAACTGTCACAGGGAAAACCAAATGTCAAATACTCGAAAGGAAAAATGAAATGGAAAATAAAGAAAACAAAAAAACAAAAATGGGTCGATAGAAAGCAAAGGTCTTTTTAGTTAACATGAGGGTTCAAATTATGCCCAATAGCTCTAACTTCTATGGAGAATAGTGATGGCAATGATAAAGTCATACTTAAACATTACTGTATAGCCAATCATTGAGATTCTTTAATATCAAGTTTCATATCATCTTAATGGACAACTAAACTACAGGTGCAACACAAAATTTCTCAAAGACTACTTCCAAAAAAGTTATTGAGCAGCGCCACATGCAAAAAGGAATTCTCTGATTGGTTTTAAAGGAATTGATGGAAGATAAGTGTATATAATGTTACATTAAAGACTTGTAACTCTTGCCTAAACATATTTATTTGCCATTAAACCCAAATTGTTATATACTAATCATGGATACAGTTTATATGTAAAATTGATGCACAGTTGATTAGTTTTGTATTTCCTGAAGTTTCATTCAAAACTTCCATACTTTTTAAGAAAATTTTATCATTTTCATTAATTTCAATATTTCCAGCAATATTTTCAGTGACATCAAGATTTTCATCCTTGGATATAACAAAGGGAAATATAGATTCATTTCAACTATCTTATAAGTTGATAGAAAAGAAGCAATTTTTCCATGTAGACAAAGACTCAAGTTTATGTCAAAGACTCTTCCCCAACTGACTCCAACTTGGTACATAATGTGTAAAATGTAAGGAGAGAATGCAAATCATCGTTTGTCCATTGTCAGGTAGCTTTAAACTTGTGGTGTTTACTATTCAAGGAGGCTGGAGTCAGTTGGGTAATTCCACAAGGGTGCCCTTCATTGTTTAGTGAAAGTCTTGCTGCTTTTGGTAGAGGAAATAAGGCTCGGGTCTTACGGGGTTGTTGCCAGATGGCTGTCCTGTGGGTGATCTGGATGAAGAGGAATGAGGGGATGGGGGTAGAAGAGCTGTGGGAGAGGGGGAGGTTTTTGTCGTCCCTTTGGGCTTCAGTTACATCAGATTTCAGGGATCTTTTCCTTTTATTTTGCTAAATTGGGAGTCATCTATAGGATAATGTGTTTTTGTAGGTTTTGCTGTTTTTTATTTGTAATCATTTGTAGTTTGTTTTTGGTGGACTCCTTGTTCACTATCTCTTGTCTATCTTAGATTATCTTTCAATAAAATTTGTTTCTTTTCAACCCCCAAAAAAAAAAGCGGGATAGTCCTTTGAAGGATACAGCACATTGTTGTAATTATTATCAACACCCATTATAAAGTACAACAGAACTTCTTTTTTTTTAAAGAAAACTAATTGAAACATACCTAATTAATATAAAATAAATAAAAGGTCTCGCCACTTACCGTAGCTTCCGGATTGTGAATTAACACACTAAGAACATCTACCAACTCTCCAAGATTATGCGGAGGAATGTTGGTTGCCATGCCAACCTGAAAATTAATTTAGCCATATGTGAATTGAAGATATACAATTACTGAGGAAGAATAAGAACGAAACACAAGCAGCAGCTTTTGATCATGAAGGACAATTAAACCTAAGAAAAATACCGCAATCCCAGAAGCACCATTCAGTAATAAAGTTGGAAGTCGAGCAGGTAAAACTGATGGCTCTTTTGTGAATTATCAAAATTCGGAGTAAAATCAACCTGCGCCAAATGAAGCACATCATGCAAAAACAAATTAATGAAGAATAATATATTATGACTAGATAATATATGGAACAGCTCTGACCGTATCTTGATCTAAATCTGCCAATAACATTGCTTCTGTCAGCGGCTACAAAAATAAAGCGTCAGTATGGTTATTACCAAAGATAAAAATATTCCTTATAAACAAAAAGCATCTAGCAAAAAGGGGAATTAATGCACCATATATATCTGCATGTCTAGCACAGTATCATGGCATAAAGTTCACTGTAAAAGTTAGCAATAAGAGATTTTTTGAGACCCGAATTGAATTTAAATAATGACGTTTATTTTATAACCTATTGATGATGGGGGAAACTATTCATGATGACACATTTACTGAGACAACCAGCTATGCGGCACAGGGACTTGTAAAAGAGCTGCCCAAGGCAAAATTATAAATATTATAAAAAAATGGCTTTGAACAATGGTTCCCCCTACACTCCCTGGATTTGTGTAAATGCAGCATTTTCGCACTCAGCCAATGTGCAATAGGCATTAAGTAAACACTCTGGAACAAGATCTTTTACCTTTTAGAGCACTAAAAAATTACTCACAACATCACTATAATGACATACATACTGAGAGAAGGAAGGGGGATGAGAGAGAGAGAGAGAGAGAGAGAGGTTGCCCCGTTTCTGGAATAGAATATAACCTAAAGATCTTAATATTCATCTTGATATCATGATTATTAAGAACCCATACAGTGTTCAAAGTAACTAAAATATCTGAACATACTTCCAATCTGCACTCTGTGTAACGCATGGCAGCTGCAGGATCAGCATCAATAGACCCAAAATTCCCATGCCCTTGGATTAATGGGAATCGTAAGGAGAAATCCTGGAAAATTAAGATTCAAAGCAATCAGGAGAACACATGAACTAAATAACTACTTATAATGTGATCTAAATCAATATTTACAAAGACGAAAAGTTCAAAAACAAATGGAGTAGAATCCAGAAAGCTGGAATTTTTTTATATGAGGAAATTTTTTTTCCAAAAAAGAAGTAATGAAATTTTATTGTAAAGACATTAAGGGGCATCACCTAGTATATACAGCAAATAAACATAGAAATAGAAAATCAAAAGAGGCAGCAACTGATGTTGCTTGTCCATCCAAAGAATTATCAATGATGTTGAGCTTCCATTCTCCAAATTGATTGTTCCATCCCTCAAAAGCTCTTTGGTATTTAATTTCCAACCATGGATGCCTAAAGATGTGCATTTTTTTTTTTTATGGTAAGAAAAAATCTATTGAAAAATAAAATAAAGTATATCCACTGGATAGATTGCCCACCAAAACAATACATCAACATAACGGGAACAGCAAAACAAGATTAGACTGAAAACAGTACTATTTCTCTCACAATTGGAACCCCAAAAACAGATTAGACTGTACAGATGCTTTCCAAAACTCGAAGACACAGAAGCCTAGAGTTGAGACCAAAATCTGACTTTACCCCATAACACCTCCATCCCCACACCACTATAATTCACAAAAATCTTCTTACACCTCGCCAGCCAAATTACAAAAAAGTTGCACAGAGTATTTATCTATAACCATTATAATTACACTTTTCAAAAAACCTATCATGTCATCCAGAGAAGACATGGTCAACACAAGATGACAGCACTCAAATATCCGCAAACAAAGAAGAATACATTGCCCTGTTTCAGAGTTTTTCTAAAGAAACTAACTCCTACAGCTGAGAAAACAAAAAAAATGTAACAAATGAGAATAATGGAACACTACAAGGAGGGCCATCAAAAAAAAAAAAAAAAAAAAAAAAAAGCAGATGTTGAAGTATTTTTTGTATTTACTACTAGCTTATCCGTTTTTACTTCTGTAATGAATTCACGTGTTGGTTAATAGAAAAAGTTATTGTTACCTGAGCCATTCGCACCAAGGAATCATAGACAGCAGTGTCACCATGGGGATGAAATTTTCCTAGAACCTGCATCCAAGCATTTTCTATCAATCGTAAATATAAATATTGGGAATTCATACAAATGACACAGAAAGCCTCTGATTACTAACCTCTCCAACAACTCTAGCACATTTCTTGAATGGTTTTCGTGACGCAAGCCCCAATTCATGCATTGCATACCTGTAGTATGAGAACAATACATAACAAATTAAACATCGCTCACAGAAATTCTTTTCTTCCCAGAAAATTTTCTCAGGAACCATACAATCTACTAAGCAAACATCACTCACAAAATACGACGGTGCACAGGCTTCAAACCATCGCGAACATCCGGCAGGGCGCGGCCGAGCAGGACAGACATAGCGTAGGCCATGTAGGCTTCAGTGGCCTCCTTGTGGAGCTCAACACGAACGATTTTTTCTTCGCTGTTCTCACTTGTGTCTTTGACCAGCACACTTCCATTCCCATTCTGCCCCTCGCCTGGGTCCTCCTTTTGCGGGTCGTCCTGGAGCCCCGCTTTGATTGGGCGGACGTGGGTCCCGGGACGGGAGGACGATGCGGACAGGAAGCGGAGCTCCGACAGGTTGTGACGGAGACTGGAAAATCGGGTCGGGTAGAGCGGGGCAGCGAGGCGGTAGCGGAGGATGGAGGAAGAAAGGCGAAGACTGGAAGCTAAGGCCATGGTAGGGGTTTGGGGAGAAACTGAGGGTTTCATAGAGATAGGGCTGAAGGCGCCATTTGGGGGTTTTGGGGTTTCAGCTACAATCTAAAACCCTGGCTTGCGATTGCTTTTGGAATTTCGAGGCCTCTTGCGCGCCAAGATGTTGTGTGGGTTTTTGGATTGGAAGCACGGCACGTGACTTTCTAAGAGCATTTTAAAGGATTACTCCAAAAGCATTTCAAAGGGATATGCAAATGCACTAGGTAAATTAGTTGGATGGGTAATGCTAGCAATTTTTCTCTCTCTTTTTTTTTTTTTTTTTTTTTTTTTTTTTACTTTTTTTTTTTCTCTTTTCACATGAATTTTACTTTTTTTACACTTAAAACAATGTCATTAATACATCACACAAACTAGGTTTTGTGTTTTTTTTAATAACAAGCTAGTTTTTTTTACAACTTTCTTACTACCTTGTTAAAAAGTTAAATAAGAAAATAAAAACTGAAGTTTTTTTAATTTTTTTTTTCCAAAGAGGACGTATGTTTTGTTAAACACAAAATAATGATGATATCACTTTCATGATAACAATGTCATGAAACAAACTTTTTTTTTTAGAAGACATTTTTTCTTCTTTTTTTTCTTATTTAATTTTTAACAATATGCTAAGGAAATTGTAACAAAATTTGGATAAGTTGAAGGAAATATAAAAGCTAATACATTTAATAAGGGTAAACTTGAAAAACAAAAACTAACTTGTGTGATGCATTAATTATATTGTTTTAAGTGTAAGGAAAGTGATACTTGTCATGAGGAAAAGGGAAAAGTTCCAAAGAAGAATGTTAGAGAGAAGGTTGTTAACATTCCTCTGGTTGGATTAGTCAAGTTTTTGGTGAGCTTCCAACTTGGTTTCCCCACTCCTCCTTCTATTGAAAGGACCAACTTTTTTTCTAAGTAGCCAAAATGCAATGTGTAACATCACGACCCAAATTTAAGTATTCGTTTAATTTAATTAAAATAAATAAATTTTGAAATTACAATTTTGCTCTTGGAAATAGGGTTATTTTGTTCACCTTTTAATCTGGAAGGTTTTGGGGAAACCAATGGGACCATGACGTAGATTGCGTCGAGACGAGTTCGTAGACACTTAGTAGGCTTAAATCAGACTTGAAACGATGAAGTTACGATCAACAGAAGCATAATGGCATATTTCGAAGTTAGTTTTTTTTAAAACCTGAATTCCTCTCTCTCTCTCTCTCTCTCTCTCTCTCTCCTCTCTCTCTCTCTCTCTCCTCCTCTCTCTCTCTCATCTCTCTCTCTCTTTGTGTGCAAGCAATAGTCCCCCTTCGAAACAGTCAATTGGTTTTTGCTTCACCGCTGCCACCTCCGGCCACCCCAATCGATGGGTGACTGGCTCCGCTCCCTCTTCCTATCTCACCCCTCCGCCGCCCTAGCCGCCAGCCGCCGTGGCCGGAATATTGAGAAAACCGACCGATTTCGACCCAAAACTTTCACCGCTCGTTCCGGCAATTTCGACCACCAATTTCTTCAATCTAAGTATGCTTTTTCATCCTCTCAATGTGTTCTAACTGATGGTTGAGTTGATTAGGATCAATTTCTGCGTTTTGGAACTTAAATTATCGCTTAAAGTTTGGCCAGTGTTTGGCTAGTGTTTCCGGCAAGTTCCGATCACTTTTTGGCCATGGAACAAGAACAAAAGTTGCTCCACTCATTTTCCTGATCACGTAGGTATAGGTCTTGATTGATGATTTAGAGATTTTCCTATCACCTGAATTTCTCTGGGCACCCACACGCTGCAAGCGCGTGTGGCGGCTCGTGGGCACTATTTGGGTGACCCTTTTGGTCCTAAAATGTTCCACATGTCGCCCCGAGCAAGACGATATGCTCAGATTTGAATTTGGTTATCATTTGACTGTCGATCGGATTACTCATTTTAGGCGTTATACGGGTTCGATATGTTCAGACCGTTGGATCGACCCTAATTTCATATATGTTGATTTAGGGATCTCTAGGATCATGTAGGAATTCGTGGATAGTGAATCGGAGCCCCCGGATGCTTCGATTCAATGATTAAGTTAAACGATAACTGTCCGATCGTACGATCTTGAGCAATCCAACTGTTCAATTTGGACCAAACTTGCAAGACATGTGTTATAAACCTTGTTGAACTCATTGAAACTTTCTAATGGAAATTTAAGTCGTGGGCCCCGCGGGCCCAGTTGACCAACTTCGAAAAGTTTGACCACTCAGTTGACCGAGTGTCTTCCGAGACTAATTCATTATCCAGAACATGTAGTTGGACCTTAGGAACTTGTCGTTCGATGTACACACACTTTAATCCTAGAAAATTAGGAATTTATTTTAAAGTCCTCGTTCGAAGCCCCTTATTTTAATATCGTCCTCGTGTTCTTAAATAGATACTCCGACTACTCGTACTCAGCATGCAGGACCCTCTCAGGGTCAAGCAGCGTGGGACTACTTGTGAGTGGACTTTATTTTGAAACTATAATCATTATTTTCAAGAATGGGAAAAATATGCATAATGGTTTCTTGATTATTGAGTTATTATTTATTTAAATGATGAATATAATATTATTATGAAAGTATTGGAATTATATTCAAATAATTGCAGATTGTGAATATTTTGAATGAATATATATTTTTTTTTAGAATGACTATTTATACGTGGATATGTGTTGAGTACATGGGGTTGTTGGGAAGAGTTATGAAATGTGGATTGGGTTGTGGTTTAAGTTAGTTTGAGTGCTATTAGCACTACCCTATGTACCTCCCCGGATTTGGAATACTTGGTTTGGAAATGTTGAAACTATGGAATACTTGGATATGTTGGAACCCGGGCACCCTTGATGGGGTGTTTCATAGACCCTTAGCGGGGTTAGTCTGCGGGCGTAGGACTTGTCACAGACGTATGAGTATTGAGGATTCTGTTGTACATGCTGGTGAGCTTAATCGCAGTTGGACGACTCGTTCCAACTACATTGTCAATTGAGGATTCTTCCATGTCGACTAGTCAAACAATTCCTCGGTTGGATTGTTTCCCCGGTAAAAACTTGGTAGTGGTCACCATGGCACCATATTTTTTACACAAGTTTTGACACAATTTTTGAGCCATTAGATTACTCCACTTTTAATGATTGAGATTAAACCTGACATGGCAAAACAATATTTTTTTTCTTTAATTAATATTTATACATTAGGATTAAAATTCTGATACCATATTAATTAAGAATTCATTCTCTCTCATCTCATTAATTATCTTTAATTCATTCATTCTCTCTCTTCTAAAGAGAATTGACGTTCTCCTCTGCCTCTGCTTCTTCTCTCTCTCTCTCTCTCTCTCTCTCTCTCTCTCTCTCTCTCTCTCTCTCTCCGCTTCCTCTCTGGTAATGCCATTGCTTCTGAACAAGGAAAGAGGGATTTTGAAGATTGCTGATCTTGGACTCGGCCGCACCTTCACTATACCTCTCAAGGGTTACATGCACGAGATTGGTTTAGCTGACTTTGTCTTTCTCAATTCCGTTATGAACTCTGTAGCCTAATAAAACAAATCTTATAAATAAAAAAGTGCAAAACGATATGGTTTTCTCAATTCCTTTATGACTCAGTTTGGCTTCATGTCAAACTAGGTTGCCCATTGCACTGTAAATTTTACTTTTACTTTTTAATTCTTTCAAATGTTGTCCCTTAAAATAATTATGCATGAGTTTTATAATATTGGGAGGGATAGTTTGCATGCATGGTAATATCAGCATGACTACAACATATAATTGAAAACCTCCAACAGTCGATGCACAAATACTTGTACCAAAATCTCTTAAGCAACTGTTTACCAAGTGCAACCTCCCATTGTCCAGGATTGATCACGCGAGTGGATGCTTAATTATTATATTCTAGGAACTAATATGCTAGATGAATTGTACCTATATAGGGAGGGAGGGAGAGAGAGAGAGAGAGAGAGAGAGGAGAGAGAGAGAGAGAGAGAGAGAGAGAGATTAGATTACCAAGAAAAAAAGGATATTACCAAGAAGAGATATTACGTTTCCAAGAAAAAAGGGAGGAGAGAGAAAATTATTTTATTTTATTTGTATGAGAGAGAAAATAAAATTAATGATTGTTTATTTAAAACATTAAAACTATTTCTCATGTCATTCCCTTAATGTCAGCAAGAGTCCAACCAATGGCAGATCTGTGAGAATTCAACACATTAAGTAACTTACCTTCTTGCAAAGAGTCAAATTTAGAAGATATTACCAGTAGAAAAGTGTTGTTGGACCCCAAGAATGCATGTTTAAGTCTCGTAGGTAAGGCTTCAATTCTAGCTTAGGAACTTCCACATTTGATGGCAATGTCTTTTCCTTCCGAGGTGGAAGTTTCTCAAACCTTGGTCTCCATTTATCAACCTACAAGGAATTTAACAACGAATTATGATCAGCAATTTCTGGATCCTCAAGTAATTTAGATTCTTTATAATTCAATAAAATAGCCTCTAAAGGTTCAGAAATACTAGTCTTCTCAAATTGATCCTGCACAAGAGCTTCAATCAAGTTCACCACTGCACATTCATCATCTTCATAAGGTCACCTAAAAACATTAAAAATGTTAATTTCCAATGTCATGTTACCAAAACTGAGTTTCATTACCCCACTTCTACAACTAATGTGTGTGTCACATGTAGCAAGGAAAGGACGTCCTAAAATGACAGGAATTTCATTTTCAGAATGCAAAACAGGTTGTGTATCTAAAACAACAAAATCAACAGGGTAGTAAAATTTGTCCACTTGGACCGATACATCCTCAATTACCCCTCTCGGCATTTGTATAGAATGATCAACAAGTTGTAACTTCATTGCTGTGGGCTTCAATTCACCAAGACCTAACTGCAAATATATTGAATATGGAAATAAATTTACACTAGCCCCCAAATCAAGCAAAACACAATTTATGTAATTTTTTCCAATTACACATGAAAGAGTGGGACTTCCTAGATCTTTGTATTTGGGAGGGACCTTATGTTCGGTTAAAAAGCAGTTTTCTTCACATGATGCTTTCTTTTAAATGTGCATAGATCTTTTAAAAATTTAGCATAAGAAGAGATATGTTTAATAGCATCTAACATAAGAATATTAACTTTAACTTCTCTAAAGAAATCCAAAATTTCATAATTTTGATTCAAGGAGGATTTAAAGCTTGGGGAAAAGGAGCAGGAAAATGATATTCATTTGATTCACTCAATTTGGACTTGTTTAGTTCATCATTATTCCTAGATTTTTCAACTTCCTTTGGTGAAGGTGTGTTATCAATTATTTTACCACTTCTAAGAGTAATGACAGACTTAGCATGTTCAATTGAGGTTTCACACATATTAACATTCTTTGGATTTGGTTGAGTTTGAAAAGGAAATTTTCCTTTTTCATTTATTGCAAAAGAATTTGGAAATTTAGAAATTTGGCTTTTAGTTTCTTTATTTTTTTCAACTAATTGACCAAACAAGGTATCATACCTTTGATTTTGCTTATGTTGTTCCTGCATAAATTCTTGAAGAGTATCGCTCAAAGAAGGTCTAGCGTTAAATGCATTAGTTTCAGGAAAATGATGATTGAAAGAATTTCTATCACTTACTTGAGGTTGTGGCTCATTGCTCCAACAAAAATTTGGATGATTCCTTGTTGCTGGATTGTAAGTGTTGGAAAAAGGAGAATATTGTTGTTTAAAGTTTCCAACAGCAGCACAATGCTCCTTATAAGCTCCTTTCATTTCTTGAAAAATTGGGCAATTTTTAACAATATGACCAATCTCATAACAAGAATCACATACTTGATAACATCAGCTTGATAAAAAGGTTGAGGCAAATTTGATTTTTCCATTTTCAAAGCGGCTATCTCTTTAGTCAAAACCTCAAATTTTAATTTCCAATCATCTTCTTCTTTTAATTGATAAATTCCTTTATTAGTAGAAGATGTGGCAATTCTTGACCGATCAGTGGTCTCAACTGGACTGACTGGACTGGGGACAGTCCATTGATGAGCTTTTTCAGCAATTTCATCCAAAAATTCTAGGGCATCATCAGGGTCTTTTTGCATAAAATTTCCATTACACATAGACTTAACAAATTGGCGATCACGAGGGAGAAGTCCCTCATAGATATGACTAGCAAGATGCCAGTTTTCAAAGCCATGGTGTGGGCACAAATTCAAAAGCTCTTTAAAATTTTCCCAAGTTTGATATTAAGTTTCATTTTCCTTATGAGAGAAATTGGAGATTCTTTTCTTAAGAGCAATTGTCTTGTGATGAGGAAAATATTTGTTAAAAAATGCTTGAATCATCTCTGCCTAAGAACCTATGGACCTAGCCCTTAATGAATATAACCAACTTTCCGCTTTCTCTTTTAAAGAAAATGGAAAAAAATTTAACCTTATGAAATTTATCCTATCAAGTTGACCATTGTAAAAAGTGTCAATAGCCTCTTCAAATTCCCTAACATGCATTTAATGATTTTCACTTTCCATACCATGAAAAATTGGTAGCAATTGAATCATTACAGGTTTGAAATCATAATTTGGCATGTTAGGTGGAAACATGATGCATGAAGGATTTGGTGCACGAATAGGATGCAATAATGTCTCTAAAATTCTAGGTGCAACTACTTCTTCTCTTATTTCATTATTCACAATCTGAGCATTAACCTCTCATTCACTATTTACAATTTCTGCCATGCTTTCATATTTGTCAAATGTTTTAGTTGAAGAATTGAAGCAGAATGTTCTAAATTAACAATTTCAATCTTTTTAACAAATCTTCCAAGATGATCTCTAGGTTGAATAAAGAGTGTACCAAATGTGAAGAATTTCACGTAACCAGCAAACCTCTGACCAAGGGGATCTCTGTACTCTTTGACAAGCCGCTCCCTGGCAACGGCGCCAATTGATTTGTACCACTTTGCAAAACCCAAGTGAATGTGTCGTATAGAAGTGTAGCTCAGAAGTTCGAGTGTCGTATCCACAGAGAGCGGTGTAAAGAAAATAACAGAGCTGAGACAAAACAATTAAGATAAGGTGTAGATTTAATCAAGATTTGATTTAAAGAAAATTTAATTGATTAAAACACTAAGGCATTGGGGTTCCACTTTTAACATAAGCATGCAACTCTTATTAATTTGACCCACAAAATATTTTCCATTGTAGTTGTTCAAAATAAATAAAGCTCTTTTTAATTTCCTTTAGAAGTATTCTAAGCATAACTTGTACCATTGGCAACAAACTATCAAAAAATAATCTTTGTCGAAATTCTATTAATCTTGGTAATTATCTCCTCTTTTAAAAGCATGAAAGGTTTTTATTGCACAATGGGAAAAACATGATTGAACCCATGAAATAGATTATCAAACATTCATCAATTAATTAAAAAGAAAAACTACAATTTCCATTTGAAGAAAACTACAAATTCACATTAAAGCTTAAGTTTGGGTCAAACTAATAAAAATTACATACTCATATTAAAAGCTTTCTCCCTAGCCTTAGCTAGGGAGTTAGTTTCCCATAAAATAAAACTAAAGAAATTAAAACTAAAAGAATCAGAGGAAGGGGAGAGAACTCAAGAGAAGATTGTGAGCTTGGTGTGTGTTTTGAAGCTTGAAGACTTCTCTATTTATAGGGCTAAGAAGGAGAAACATGATGACGGATTCTAACACCACTATTCCTATTTTAATGCAATACCTAACTCCCACTTCATCTTGCCTATGAATTGGCATTGAATTTGAGCTTCTTTGGAGTGGATGATACCTCACAAGCATGTGAATTCAATTTCTTCTTATTTGCTTCCATCCCATACTTTTTTTCCTTTCCTCTTTTGGCATGGGTGTGGCACTTCATGCATTCTTTTCTTCTTGTGCTAGTTGCACTTCTTCCTTCATCATCATTCTTCATGGATATGTTGAAGTTCTTTAATTGACCACTAGCATATTATCTTTGGGTGGCACACTTCTTGGCATGCAAATTGAGTTGGTTTTCACAGCACACTAGCCTACATAGGAAGTCATTGATCAAAGTTAATAAAACAACATTAAACCAATTTGACCAAGTAAAAATATAAATGCATAAGATTATTTAATTACCCATTATAATTGCTTTTAAAATTAAATGTTAAGGGAAATAAACATGTATTATTGTAATATTATCAGCTTACTTCTCCATTTGATTAAATTAGCCAATAAATGGCAATACATGTATCAATTTTGACCATAGGTGTCTATAGATTATCTTTGCTTCTGTACAACAAACTTGCTTATACTTTGATTCTCTTATGAGTTTTTGGTTTGATTCTATTACGCTCTAGGTCTTTTGGTTTCATTATGTTACAGGTATTCAATAATTTGTGGCAATGACTGAGATTATACTTTGTTCACTGGATTTGGAGAATACTTGGCGTATTTAAATTGTGGTTTGTGCAATTGATTTTGTGGCCATAAGCCATTGTCTTCGCTCAAATTTTCCTATTTGTCTACACAAACACCTAACATTTTTCAAATTTGTAGCAACAAAATCAACGCCCCTTGATTTGATTCTGTTAAAGCTCAAGTGTTTTGGCTTAATTTTCTTATACCTATTTAATAAATTGTCACAATTGTTCGAAGTTTGTTACCAATTGATTAAATAGAATGAGGTTATACTTATGTCCATCAGATTAATAGAATGCTTGATGTATTTAAACCGTTGTTTGTGCTGTTGGATTTTTTAAAACTTAATTATGTTATAATAATTTAGTCACAACCCCAATTTCTCATTTATCTACTCTAATGCCTGTCATTTTCCAAATTTGTACCAACAAAGTTGAAATCCTCCTGCAGAGAACAAGAAAGAACATAAGCCACCTCTATGGCAGAGCCAGCAAAGCAAGAGATGGATCCCCTTCCAGCAAACATGAAAGCATAAAAATCCCCTTCCACCACCCAATAGCATGTATATAAATACTTGTCCAAACTCTTTTGAACAGTGAAAATCTCAAAACTGCTGATATTTTGGTGTTTTGATTGCTGCTTGATTTATTAAAATATGGTCAATATTTTAACATGACAAGCAACATATAATACGGTTATTAGTGTATTTTTATAACTTAAACTTGCTAAATAAAGCATGATGCAACTATTTACATCTCCATGTCTATATAAATAATATCATTTTCCCTATATATTTGAATGACGTTGTACACATTTCACACAGTTTTAAAACCCGCAGCATCGCACGGGCTCCTTCACTACTTCACTAATAAAATACTAATATTAAAATCTCCATTTAATACACCCTCACCGTTCCGCCCCCCCGCCGCCGCCCCAACCCACACACAACAAAACAGATGAAAGTAGGCGCCTCTCTGAATCCTGGAAACGTGAAGAACCACCGGCACAAAATACACACCTGACATTAAAATGTTTCACTTTATCTTCAAAACCTCTCTCCATCTTCAACAAACCAGAACCCTGAATGCCAATATCAGATCCCTCACCACTCTCAGCATTTACCCAGCACTCACAGACTATCTCACAAACACTTTGGCTTTCACCCCAGAGTCAGCTCTTCAAGTCTCCAAGAAAATCCATGGTAGACCCCCCAACAATCCCTACCCAGTCCACTCCCTCTTCGAACATTACGGTTTTACCCCTACCCACATAGCCAAAATCATCACCATATGCCCATCCTTCCTCTGGGCAAACCCAGAAAAAACCCTCAAGCCCAAGCTAGACTTTCTCGCCCAAAATGGCATTTATGGTCAAGACCTTGTAAGCACAATCACCAACAACCCCAGAATTCTAGAGCGGAGTTTGAACAAACAGATTGCGCCCTGTATTGGGTTCCTCAAGAGCTTTCTTGGGTCTGCCTCGGCTTTGTTGTCGCACTTTTCGGTCAAGCGTGGTACTGCGGTTGTGCTCAGATTTTCTGACTCTATGGGCGCGAACGCTGAGACTCTAAGACAACACGGTGTGCCTCACAGTAACATTATAAAGATGATCGCGTGCCAGCCACGGATATTTTCAAGGGATGTTGAGGTTTTCAGTAAGATTGTGAGGGAGGTTGAGGAACTGGGTTTCAATCCGTTGAGCATGATGTTCATCCATGGCGTGTGTACGCTTTTTTTCGATGAGGAAGGACAAGTGGGTTTCAAAATTTGAGGTGTTGAAGAGTTTTGGGTGGTCGGAGGCGGAGTTTCAGGCTTTGTTCTTGAAGCAACCCCCGGTAATGAGGTCGTCAGAGGAGCGATTAAAGAGGGCATTGGACTTTTTCATGAACAAGATGGGGTGGGGCACTTCGGACATTCTCAAGTACCCAGTTTTGCTTTGCTTGAGCTTTGAAAAGAGGGTGTTGCCGAGGTGGTCGATACTTCAAGTTTTGATTGCCAAAGGTGTTATAACCAAGAGCAAGAAGACTACTGCGAAGGCATTTATGCAAACTGAGGACAAGTTTGTGAGCGAGTTTGTGAACGGATATGAAGAGCATGCCCCTGAACTTTTGGAGATGTACCAAAAAAAGCTCCAAGGTTTATGATATGTGACTCTGTTTCCTTGCAATGAGGTGGGAGCTTTTATTTTTCTGTGCAATAATTAGGTTTTTTTATTTATTGTTATTGGTTCATGATTTGGTTATTGAAGAACCTTGACGGGATTATGGTTTCATTTGCTTTTATCTATATTGGCAATTGTTTTAATTCATATATGTTGTGCTTTCGTAGTATAATTTTCTGACTTAGTAATAAGGCAATATTTTTATTTTATTTTTAAAAAGCTGAAACCTGATTAGTGAACCAGTTTGCAGACAGACAAAAACCTTATGAAAGCATTTTTGAAGTGTTTTTCCTTTTCCTTTTATTCATTTGCTATGCATTTCTCTTTTGAAATATGTCATGGTGAAAAAAAGAAAAAGCATGTCCTTGGAACGGAACCATGCATTTATCTGATAAAAGGGAAGACTACCATTTGCTGTTAATATGTTTTTTGCTAGGGGAGTTGGTAGGTGGTCTGCCTATGTGTTTGTCCATGTTACTGTTCGAAGTCTTGATTTGCTTGGCCATGCAAATAGACCGCTGCTGATAATAAGAATCTTCTATTGTTGGCAGAGTATTATTTCTGTACCAGGAATGCTGTAAATAACCTGAAACTTGACAATGCGCATGTATGTCTATTTTTCTAGAGTATATTGAGGAAAAGGCATGAGAACTACTAGCACTTTTAGATATGATTTATTGGATGATGGATTGAAATTGAGGATGAGATGACACGAAGCTACTAGGCCTGGCAACTTATCAGTGGTGAGTGAGCTGATGTTCAGTTCTTTTGGAAATGCCAAATGGTGCTTGCACTTATTATGGTAGAAACTGGGAGGTCTCATTGGTTCCAAAGTCATTTCCTTACTTTTGTTTTTCCCTTTTGTAGTGGGGTGTGGAGGATAAATGATCTATTCTTTAGCAGTATTTTTAGTATGTAGATGGAAATCAGGAAGGAACATGTAATGAGAAACTGGGGTTGTGACTAAATGTGATGGTAGAAGAATGAGTGATGCTTTTCTTATAGGACAAAGCCAGATTCTGGGCCTCGCTCCAGGCTTCTGTTTCTTCTGAGTTCCCAGGCTTCCCTTTCTTCCCTCTGACTTTGGATTGGGAAGCAGCTAGTTCTTATGGTTTGGGTCTGTTTTCAGCCTGGCTGTTCTGCTGTTATGTTGTTTTTTTGTAGACTTTTGTAGTTTGATGGTTGTTTTTTTAATAGACAGCTTGTTCACTTATATTGTACTTCCCCCTTTCATTCTTGTTCAATTTTTCTGTTTCCTATTAAAATAATGTGGATCATTTCTTCTGTATATAGCTACATTATTGCCTTATTACTAAGTTTCCCCTAACATTCTTTCCTCCTTTTAGGGTAGGTTGGATGGCTGGTGCGGTCCTGATATTGGTCATCAAGGAGTTTGAAGGTTTTTCATGGACCAATTGCTTCTCAGTTCCCACTGTATTTGTTGTGTCAAAAGAACATGATGGTCACTGTATTTGTTTGAAGGTTTTTGTGTATGTAATATTTTTGGGGCCTCCATTTTCAGTTCCATGCTACCTGTGTAATCACCATGACTATGCCTCCAATGTGATGTCTTTTCTGATATAAGAACAACATGGGGAAATCCTGCAAATAGGAATTCTTTATATGGCAGACTTTTTATATTTGGTTTTCTTTTAACTTATGAAAAAATAATAATAAAGGTTTTCTTACTATCTTTATCATCCTTCTCACTTTTGCAAACATTTCTGAATATCTTTTTTTTTTAAAATTTTATCTGCGGCATGTCTATGAAAGAAAATTGAAATCATTATGCCTATATATGTGAAGGAGTTTATATTTTTGTTTTTTTGCCAGATGTGAAGGAGTTCTTTTTAAATCCGTATGTTTTTATGCAGTTGGTTTCGACCCAAACAACAAATTAACGATGAGCAGCTGGCCTACTTCTCCATTCAAGACAGGTAATTGTTTTTCCTTCTTGTTTTCCTTCACCCATTTATTGAATTTTGTATTTATCAAATCATTTTGGAGATTCCTGTGCGTTTGGATATAAAATGCTTCCTTGATTTTTATAAAAACAATCATCCTATCTGGTCCTCCAAGTTTGCCATAAGATTTTACTTTTGAACTTGTTGCTCTATTGCTTGCAATTCTTTCTACTCTTCTGGCTTCTTCTCTTATCAAACAACATGGAAAGAAAAAATATGTGGGGTTCTTTCGTTACATCACCTCATGTATGGATACTTTCTTTTTCTTGGATGAGTTGTTCTGCCTTTTGAAGTCCCTCTCTAAGTTGTTGTACAAGGTCATCTACTTAAGCATGTAGTTAAGTTTTGTTCCAACTGTTCAGCAATCTGATAATCATTTACAGTATTGTTCAATTACTTTAAGAAATAGAGTGCCATGCACCAAGATTTTCTTGGTTGGTGGTGAAGACATTGATTGACTAGTAAATACGACCCAAATTTCACATGTCACCCTCAACTACAAAATCTTGCAATATCAAACCTAACGTTTACAAATCATTTCAATGCAGCCCCTCCATCATTTAGGCCGTCACTCTTCTCGGCTTTTCCTCCGAGGCTTGGGTGGGTCTCAATTCTTTTGTGATGTATCAACTCATGGACCCATGTCTACACATCTGAGGGCATTTTATGTTAGGTTTGATATTGCAAGATTTTGTAGTTCAAGTTGCAATGTGAAAATATAGGACATACTTGAGTGGTGCAAAGTGTATGATATTTGCATGATATTTGAAAAAATGTTTTTGTTGCTGGCCAATAATTATCGCCTGGATTTCGCAGGTCTTTCCTTTCAAGGAGGTTTCAAGTTTTGGGAGTCGAGGAGATTTCATGTAGATGTTATTGGATCTTCAAAAGTCTTTTGATTTGGATACCAAAAGTAGAGAAAATATTGACAATCATAATCTGATTGAAAGGAGTTGTCTGGCTAATCCATGCTATTGCCCTTGGGGTTTCTAGGACGCATCTTTTTGTTCTAGGCAGATCTTGATGCTTATGGACTCAATGGAATGATTCGACCCCTTGAGGGGCCGAAATAATGGGTTTGGTGAAACACTTTCCTATCAATTTACTCTTTCCCTCTGTAGCCTAATGGAACTGGCAGAAAAATAAATCCATGTTGATGTTCCTGTACCTTCCAACAAATGGCCAATAAATTCTCAAATATACATGCTCTCTCGAGCTCCAAATGAAAACTAGCCAATCGAGGAAGAGGAAAGACGCAAGTCCAAAGAAAGTTTTGATACCTGTTTGGGATGGGCAGATTATACCTTGTTCAATGACTTAAAAGTTGTATCCTTTAATAAAAAACACTTAATTAATCAATCAAGTTAATGAGTAATGCTAGGCAGGTCCTACCTCTATTAGGGATGTGGTCTCCCTAGCATTTTTGGTAAGTTAATTGCATGCTAGACATTGAAACTTGGCATTGCATATTCAACGGGAGAACGTAGCTTCATGAAGACCAGCTTAACGGAAACTTTGAAGGCCTAACCACAATTTATAAGACGATCTTCACGAAAAACAACCCTATTCTACATGAAGTTAATTGATTTGGGGTAGTGGGCTAGCTTAAGGCACCGATCTCTGAAAAAACTCAATGAGATGCTTATTAGAGGAGGCTGCCGTATACAAAATTCTGCTTAGTCTTAACAGTGAACAAATAGTTTGATCTAACAATTAGAAGATAAATAAATACCATATGTTTTGAATTTGTAACAAAGTAGTTAACATAGGCTCTGCAATCATGCTCATACTTTGGTTAAGAATCTCAAGTACAACCTATCTAATTATACATGCAAATTTTCCAAATATGCGTAAACATCTGTTCCATGATGTTATGACTTGAGTTATAAGTACCGGATTGGATATAAACAAATGAATTAATTCTCATCATAGAACACTTCTGAACTTACACTAGGCCTCTGTTAAAGTTCATGATTATGCTGGCTTTGAATTCAGCTTCAGCCAAAAAATTTGAATCAATGATGACATGTAAGAATGCATACTAGCGATTAAACCATCCCTATTTTTCTGCATACCAGCGATCAACCATTGATAGTCCGACAGAGTAGAATCTGATAATGGCTCCAAAAATTCACACCTTGCCAAAATCTGAGGTGGAGGTACTCCTGCAACGAGGTTTGTGTCTAGTCTTGGCTTTCCCTTGATGAGCTCATTCAAAACTTCGGGCGGAGCACTATCAAGAGCAGATGGGGATGCTCCGGGGACTACCTCCTGCTTAAAAGGGAGTGCTCGAGCAGTTTGCAAGCAGAACTCTATCCATTGATGGATGAGCGGAGATGGCCCTCTAACTCTCCCCCCCAATTCGATTTGTTTCAAGTTGAGAGACAGCAGGAATTGCCTAGAAAAAGAAAAAAAAATATAAACTTGACATCTGGGAGAAGATATCATATAAAGGACAACTTAAATTTCTACGACAACATGATGCAGGGTGTACCCATAGATCAGCCCATATACTAGCTCCTGATTTGGGAACAATTACTGCAACATTAGACATGCGTTTGGCAACAGGAAGAACATCACTGCTCCACCCAACAGCCATCCACACATCTCCAACCCCAAACGCTTTTAAATAGTGTACACTGTCAAATAGTCGGACCTACATAAGGCCAATGAGCACACCATGATACAAATTAGAACAGAGCAAGTAACCTTCTGCATCATTCTGACAGACTTTTTTTCATTTTCCTATCAATTCTGAGACATGTTCACCACATGAATTATCATAAATGTTTCAGCCACCACTAGAAATACCCCTACCTAAAGTAGAATAATTTTGAGCCATAGCTCTAAAACTGACTCCCATTACCCAAATTTAGCTCCAGATTTGGCAGTAATCTACTTTTTCAGTAGTTTATCAAGTGCCTCTAACTTAGATAGTTTCTCTCAATACCTGTTTTACAAGTAAAGCAAGATTTTGCCTGACAGCATCTCTCCCACCATCAACTTGCAAATGAATGTCTTTTGTGTTGTATGATGCTCCCATGTACTTCAAAACTGCACCAATAACCTCTCTAGGAGAATCAACCATTGAAATCTTTCCTGCAAGTTCAGGTCGCCATAAATCTGCCCAGTCCTGCAATGCCAACTCTTAGAATGTTTGTATTTAAGACAACATTTCGTAAAAACCAAAACATGCCAAATACAAACAAAACCAGTTATTCAGAATTTAATGTAACTCTCAGCTTTCTTTAAGCAAGTTCCAGCAGGTAACCTTGCCAAACCACTATAGCCCTTGAATCAGTTTCCCAACTTCTTTTTTAATATTTTCCCCTTCTCCATGGCACATCATGTGTATCAATGAAATTGTTAAAACTCTCTCAAGGAGAAAGAAGTATAGCATAATAAAATAACTTCAGAGACATGTTACCTCTACAGGAGCCAACTTATGCTTTCGGAATTTAGTTTTTTTGTATGCTATCACCATGCAGCCCCAGCGATATGGAGCAGCCCATACTTTACCATCAGGATCAATTCTCCCCTCAGAGTTCCTGCGGAGATATACCTGATACCTTTTTAGCAAAAGTAAAACACCATAAAGCGATTTTTTATGGAGCAAAAAGGCATTGCCAATTCGAAACAGTACACCAAGCAAAAGCAAATGGTTAAACAACTTAAGGAAACATGCACAATAAAACTCAGGAAGTTCATAGAATTAACTGATATTGACTAAGAATGGGTATATAACACACTGTTGACAGCAGGAAAACAACAACACCAGCTAACATATATCGATTCTGAGGTCTGGCATGCCAGTTGAAACATTTAAGCAGGTTTTCAATCCACATATCATCTACATGTATATAGTCTTCAGAATATGCGTGATTCCGGAGTTTCCAGTTACACAACATAGATCTTAGAAATCAGGGCTTGCCCTCTTGGTAGCTCATTTAAGATTTATAATAAAGCTACTGGTATAATCCATCACATGGCTACTAAAACTATAATAAATTTATCTATTCCTTTGATTTCTGGACAAGAAAACAAGTGTTGCAGTTCAACACGACCTGTGACCTTCAATAATTTGCACAGGACAGACATCAACATAAAATGGCATAGCTTGAAAATAGGCATAGATAGCATCACTTAATGTGTAAACAGGGGATCCACTAGAACACACTATTCAGGAATCAGGAAACAAGAGGACACGAAAGAGCAGTTGTATTCTTACTTTCCATCTGTCACTCAATCCTTTAAACCAGTCCTGGTCTTCTACCCCTTGAATGGGTTCAATTAAAGCCTTGTTAATGGCATAACTGAGCCAAGAATCCCCAACACTAACGAGGTCAGCTGCTACAATAGATGAAGGCCCAACTTTGCCTTTGCTAAAGGCCATTGACAGATCAGAAAAGATGCCATCAAGACTTCCATGGGACTTCAAGTGAACCTTTGATCTTTTTCCTTGAGATTGCATGAAATCCTACAGGTCAAAAGGCAAATTAAGTTATGAACCACGCATGTTGCCTAAACTCGCACAAAACCAGCTACCCATCAAACCAAATACTAAATTCCATGTCATATGACAAAATACAGAGAAAGAAATGCGCCAGAGACCTTAACCCATGAAGGTGGAACAGAGCCACGCAGAGCAGCAATTCTCAAAGGTACAGTCAAAGCATATGTCTTAGACTTCCAAGCTCCAAATGCTGCTTCCAACTTGCTATATTCTGACTTTTCCAAATTGCCAGATTTACCCTCATCACCATCATCTGTGGCTGTGCTCAACAAATGTACAATCACCACAATTACAACAATCAAACATAAACTAAACAGCCCGCCCTTATTGGTATTGATAAAATAATAATAAAAAACTATGTCAGCTGCTTTGGGAAATTACCTTGAGCTGGGTGCTCCTCCTCTAGGACCGCCCCAGGGTCGCCGAGAGGAAGAGGCGGACATTGGGCCGAAGCGGCCCAACAGCAAAGCCCAAGCCCAAAGAAGAGGGCGGCAGAGGCGGCAAGCCGAAGCAAGGTCTGAGGCACGGCAAAGGTGGGCTGCTCCGACGCCGGAGAATGTGGAGTGAGTCTGAGGCCACAAGAGGACGAGAGAGGCCTATGACAGCGGAGAGTCGGTTGGGATTTGGTAGAGCGATGGAGGCGAGGGAAGAAAAGGGTGAGCTTATTAGGATTTTGGGGAGATGAGAGGTCCAAGGGGAACGAGATGTGTGGTGGCACCAATGGAACGGCAGCAGCAGCAGCAGCAGCCATGGAAGAGAAATAATCGAACATAAAAAGAGTGATGACGGAGGGAGCAGAGTTTCATACGATCCAACTTGAGGTTTTCGAATTTTTACAAAACTCCTGAGGTTTCAGAAATTATATGAACACCTCCTCAAGTTTTAAATTATTTTCATAAAATTCAATTTCATTGATTTTTGTTCCAAAAATTAACGTTTTTCTATAATAAAAAAATTCTCCAAATGACAAAGTTGGTGTTAAGACCCAAAAATCCAAAGGCTAGGCCCAGACTTATTCCTAGTCCAGCACAAATATTTAACCATAGAAGGGGCCCAACTGGGACATATGAGAACTTGTGGGATGCACTTGCACAAGTTATAGGCCACACGCCATGCCAAGTAAACACATGCGCTCACCACGCAAAAGGGTCAAAACACACCAGCTCTATAAATTCACGCTTATTGACATATCAAGTGCTATTTGGCCCAATCATAGCTTATTACGGCATAATAGAACCCAAGCACAAACATGCTAAATAAACACGTGATGCCAAGCAAAAGGACCGCTATTCTAATGCCAAGCCATGCTACAAGCTTAAGTGGGCCCAAGCCACGTAAATATCTAGGACTTGTTGAGAAGGTTGTGATATAGATGAGTACGAGCACTCACAAGGCCTATTGATGGTTCAATGAATGGAAGTTTTGGGCTGCTTGAGAGTACTAAAACTTAAGCCCATTTCTTGGGCCCAAGCACATGGATAAGCATGAGAGAGAGAAAAGTGATCCAAATGTTTTAGGAGAATATCTAATGGTCTGTTGCAACACTTAGAAAATCCCACATTAGTTAAAGCATCCAACACCTTATCAAAAATGAAGCAAATGAACAACTTCCAGTAGCCTGACGAAACCAAACTCACAGGGCGCTGGAAATAGAGTATCAATGACCCAATATCTTAGGAAAAACCCAGCCCAGTGCCTTATAAAATATCTAGCGTCGTGTTCAGCCCTTGTCAGCAGAGTCAACGAGAAGCTATTGCAAAAACCAAAGGAAATTCATATGTGTAGGAGGAATACCCGTTGGGCAAACGCTCTATCCATTCTCCTTTTCCTCTGCGAGCTCTAACAAGAAAACCAAGGAGAAAGTGGGTGGCGCCTCACCCACATGGAGAGGTCTAGCTGCATAAAAATCTTGGAACCCCAAAGGACTTGTGATCCATGCGCTCTGGTTAGGGAAATTTCACCAAATAAGAGTGAATGGAAGGAAGTGAAGGAAAAGGAAGAGGGGAGGTCGATAAAATTAGGGGTTCTAAGTGCCTATGAAAGGGAGCTTCCTTTACCCAGCAAAACACCATCATCTAGGCACAACCAAGATTTGTCAAGCGACTGGAAATTTACTCAAGACACCCTATCTTCTACTTCCATTGTTTTCTCTCTTCCTGAGATAGAAATCCTCCTAATTTTCCTCTTCCCCATTCTGAACTTGTTCTCTCTATAAGAAGTTCATGCTCTCTCTCTCTCTCTCTCTCTCTCTCTCTCTCTCTCTCTCAAATTGCTAAACTTGTGAATGCTTATCTCTCATGCCACAAACTCCTCAAGCAAGTATTATTAATAATTTGCCACGTGCATTTGGCTTACTAGTGAAAGATATCTAGGGTGTTTGCTAAGGTTATCACGAACTTTTTCAAAACCTTCTTGGAGCCTGGTTCTTGAACTCAGATACAAGGGGCCACTTTACCCGTCTCTCTTTACGACAACCCAAGCCCATTTGTTAGGTTGCTGGAATAAAAAAACCCATACAATTGGCCTTTTAGATTAGATTGCATATACATCCATTGATGTTACTTTTGTCATTTGCATAATTTTTTTTTAATGAAATCATCAATTTTTGGATGAATAATCAACAATAAAGGATTTTGTGAAAACAACTGAAACTTTAATGGGTGTTCGTGTAATTTTTCAAACTTGAGGGGGTTTTGTAAAAACATTATAAAAAAAACATCAGGAAGTGGTAGTGTAAATAACAGTGAAGTAGCACTTGGAAAATTTGGGGTTTATGAGGAAAGATCAGGACATTGAAATTTGAATGGTGACGTTGGTAAAGTGAGTCGAACATTCCTTTTGGGAGCTCAAATTTTTCTCATTGGTGGAGTTTATAATTTCATATTCTCAGCCTTTCATTAAATGTGTTGGTGAATGCAATATACATACAATCCAACAGTCAAGATTGAATGGCTTTGTTACTGCTTCTTTACCTTATTAGTGAATGATACTTTGATAGTTAGGCCTTCTCCAACCCATGAGGGGCTAAACCTAAATTTCCCCTCTCCAAAAAGTGAATATTTGGGTTTTACCTGGACTCAAATTGTTTTTTCTCCCAACCCTCCGGACTCAAATTTTAAGTCTACAACTTTATTAAATTGTTTAATAATGGTTTAAGTCTAATTTTTTTTCTTCATTTATCTTTTTAAATAACGTCATAATTTAATATTTTGAACAATTTGACCTAAAAAAAAATTGAAATTCCATAAATTTAATTTTATTCCAAAAATAAACACATAACATAAAAAAAACACAAAAGGAGGATTGAATTGCAACAGCCAATGGAATTGCTGATTTAAAAAGTTTTTTTTTTTTTTTTTTTTTTTTTCTTGTTACTTTTTTTTTTTTTTTTTTTTTTTTTTTTTTTTTTTTTTTTTAGAAGAATTGGAATTGCAACGGCCAATTGACCAGGAACAAACAACGTGGGATGAGCCAGCAAACAAAGCCACCAGCGCTGGGCCCAGCGCGGGCCCCACTGTTTTTTCTGATGCACATGGGTTGTGCCCTTTTTTTTGGTGAGCTCCACTGAATAGTTTTGTGTCTAGGCAATACTTGGACTGGTATTTGGGACCAAATTTGGGTTTTCCCAAATTTTAGCCCCTTCACTTTCTTGGATTGGGAGAGGTTTTGAGCAATATTTTGGAATATTTTGGGGTTTAGATCCTTGGGTTGGAGATGGCCTTATGGTCCCCAAAGTGGAAAAACCTGTCTTTATGGCTCTACTCAAGCCTATCAGTTTTTCTATGTGGCTTTACAAGGTTGTTTTTAAAATCCTTGTAGGCTTCGATCTTGCATGGCTAAACTTGTTAGTCCAACTCAAGTTAGCTTTGTTTCAAGAAGACAAATTGTAGAAAATATGTGGTCGCCCGCCCCCCCCCCCCCCCCCACCCCCCCCCCCCACCCCCGATTTGCCCCCTCTTCACGCTATTGTAACCTACATAATTCCCAAAACCTAATTCCACTATCACCTCATGAATCATAAAGTTCCCAAATTCATCACATACAGTGTGAAAGGGCAATAATTCAAGAAAGAAAAAAGTGAAGAGAACAAAAAACAAAAACAAAAGGGTCTAAAAGAAATGCATCTAAACCTTAAATAAGAATGCAATTACACAAAGTGGAACACAAATGCCGGGCTAGTTGCACACACTACTAAAAAATTGGGCAAAAACCATGATCCAAAGGCCACAAAAAATAGGGTCATGTTATTTTGAATTACATTGGACACATATATATCGTATTTGTGTCATATGCAGAGAAAATACAATAGTTTTGTGCCCAACTTGAACATAAGGAGGAAATTATTGTGCTTAATTAATTTAGGCACAACTTTCGTGCCCTATAGAGAGCACAAATAGACAACTTTTGTGCCTAATGGTTATATATATATATATATATATATATATATATATATATATATGGGGGCGGATCCATGGCACCATATTTTTTACACAAGTTTTGACACAATTTTATAGCCTTTAGATGCAAGCACCTTCAAGGGCTAAGATTAAATGTGATTTTATTATTTATTTATTTTATTTCGATAACATAACAAATATATAAAATATTAAACTCACCACTTTTCAAGGTAGCATAAATGTAGGCTAAAATCTCTCCATCTCCTCCAATCTTATTTATTCTCACGTTTTTGAGTTTGAACTTTTCTTTTTTATTCAATTTTTTTCCTTTATCTGGAAACAAAGTTATGAGTTGATCTCCAAACACGCAAGGATCTATTCCAGATTTTTCCACTCCAACACTTCATGCAATTTTCGCTAAATATTCTGGAGATTGTTTGAAAATCTTAATTGTTAATTGTGCTAAGAAGCTATGGATACTTTTTGCTGTAGTTAGATGCTAAACTGTTTGAGAATGAACTTGAACTTCTCATGGTAAAAGACATTAAGAAATCCAAAATTGTAAGAGGAGAAAGAAATTCGAATAAAAAGTAATTCAAGGATTTAGAGACTCAAAGCTCAAGAAAATAACAAAAGAACCAACATACAAGGCTGCAATAAACCTCACCAAATTTTGCTGCAAGATAGAGAGAGACAGTAGTTGAACCAGACCCCAAACGAATAAAAAAAAGGATCAGGAAAAAAAATTCATACTCAGAGAATTAGATCATACCATTTATTATATTGATTCTAATCTTAGGGGGAAAAAATTATTGGCTAACATGTGAAATATGGGAGGGAGAAGAGCTACTTCTTGTTTAGTGCTGGTAGTGATAAAGAAATTGTCAAAGGTAGAAAGAAGATTTGGAAGAAGAAGAAAAAACAGAAGAAAAGGCATGAAGAAGAAGATGACGTGAGAGAAAATGTTAACGCTTTTAGGAAATTGGGGAAACATAAATGAAGAGAGATAAAATATTATAGTAAGTTAATTAAAATTAATTTAAACAAAAAGAATTAATTTGTTTAATCTTAACCATTCATTGTAGCCTAATCTAATGGTTAAGAAATTGTGACAAAACTTGTGTCAAATTTGTGGTGCCACGGATCCGCCCCCTATATATATATACACTTTTATTTTTTTTAAAGTCTCATGACTTATATAAAGCACGAATACTAAATTTTTGTGTCTTTGTATTGCACACATTTCAAAGTATTGTGCCTATAAAGCATGAATACTACAAATGTGTCTCTTTAGGTAGCCTATAGAGCATGAATAAGGAAAATTGTCTCATAAATCGAGAAACTGGATATATAA